ATAAAATGGGTGTAATAATAGCACCTCCTTGATGAATTATTTACATTACATCATATTATGAGGATAAACAGAATTACCTCTGGGCCTGAGAGTAAAGCACTTAAAACACACACTCTGTGCAGAGTGGGTAGTATTAGTCCTCCGAGCTGATCCCCAGCGCCTCTCCCCTGCCATAATCTCCTCCAGGTCTCCCCATGCTTATATAACTTCCTCAGTCACCTGAAAATAAAAAATCAGTGCAGTTGTGTTTCTGATATACTATATTGACTGGCCAGGTTTAGTCTTACTTACTCTGAATAGCTCTCTGTGCTGAAAAAAACAGAAAATGTGCAAATGAAGGAAAGAGGACAAACCATTTTGGAGAGTGAGTATGAGGAAAGCAGAATTGATTTGAGTGACTATTTCACCTGCCTCATCATTGTGATGCACTTCGCCTGGTCCATTTGAGACAATAAAGAGAACTGTAGCTCCATCTGATCAGCATGTATTGGTCAAATTCATGAGTTTTTCCATAGACAACTTGTTAGCAAAAAGTCCACCCACTTTTAATTCTTCTATGTATAGGATGCATATATAGAGGTTATGAAATACATGCACGTGTACTTCTGTATCAGAAGCTCCAGTTGTGGAGAACTTTAACCCTAGTGTTTTCTCTTACAGATTGCCAGTGCAACTACTGCTCCATCAATCCCTTCACATTTGTCTCCTGGTTTACGAGATGTGGCTCTTCGCTGTTTAGAACTTCAACCTCAGGACAGACCTCCATCAAGAGAGCTACTGAAGCATCCAGTCTTCCGTACTACATGGTAGCCAGTTATACAAATAAACTGTAATGGAGACAGGATGCTCAACAAGAGAAAAAACTTTTGTGGGGAACCACATTGATAATCTGCTGGCCTTCATGCCACTGAACAGCTATGAACAAGATCAGTGGGGAACCCTTACCTAAGTATGTGATTGACAAATCATGATTTGTACCTAAGCTTAGTATGCAAAAGTCCACAATTTGTGCAGAAACTGTAAACTGTGCCTTTCAAAGAACTGGCCCTAGGTAAACAGGAAAGCAATGAAGTTTGCATGATTAATTAACAGAAGCATAATTTTTTGGAGCACTTTTTCAGCAATATTAGCAGCTGAGGGGCTCAGGATCTGTTTTAATGTTTCAGTTATTCTTCCATTTCATATTGTGATCACAAGCAGGGGGTTCTGCAGTTCGTTTTTTTGTTTTTTGTTTTTTTTTTTGGTCACTGGCTATAAAAATCAGTATCTGCCTCTTTTAGGTCAGAATATGCTATAAGTAGCAGTAAATAAATATATTTTTAAAAGTTGATAACTTCTTTATGACCCACAATTGACCTTTATCTTTTTAAATGCCTGGGCAATTGTGGTTCATTGTGCATTTTACTGTTGGCCCATTCATTTCGTTTTTGGAAATTATGGTTCTATATTTTCATTTCACCTTCATTTATGTTTAATATTCAGGGAAAGGTGATCTTTTCAAACCAGAAAAAAAAAAAAAAGGAACTAGATGTGAACCAGAGTTTATTAAATATCTTGCTATTGCAAGAGTTTTTTAAAATATAGATGCAATTTTGTTTGTTTTTAAAATTGGAATATGATAAAATACTACCTTCATTGAGTCAGTCACTGCTCTTCTTATGCAGGTTAAATATAAATTAAGTGAAAATCAACTGTTCTCTGTGATGCAGCTCACAACCAAGATCAAGATGACCTTGAAATGTATTTGAATTTTTTTAATATATCGGTTTCTTTTGTAGGAAACTTCACACCATTTAAGTCTTACTCTGTATGTAATTATCCATCATGCATCATCACCACTGATAACAACGTTAACTGCTGTTTTCCTTCTACCATGCATTATCTCTTTACAGTAGGCCTGGCTGATAGATAGATAAAGAAAAATTAACTTACTCAACTACGAACGAGTGTTTCTAAACAATAAATTTGCTTTGAGCTTGGAAAATGTGTTCAGAAAGATAAGTGAAACAATTTCATTTACACACTAATTCCTTGGATTTTGCACAGTTATCTAATGGTTTTTGTCTAAACTGAATTCAGATGCATGGAATCCTGAAGGAAAATGGCAGCTCTTTTACCCTTTTTTCTGTGAGTCTTTTAAATTAAGTACTGATTAAGTATTTAATACAGCTTTTTGAGATGTTAAGTTTTAACTCTTCAGAAGCCAGTTGAATTGTTGCAGAGTTAAATAAAATTGGTTATTCTCAAAGACTCAGGATAAGCTAAATAAGCTATATAGAGTACATTTTAAATGTACAACACAAATTGGAAGTAAAATAAGTTACAAGATAAGTTTACAGGGATATATTGCATATAATTTTTAAAAGGCAGTTTTTTTATATGAATGTGTTTCTTAGTGAAATTTTACATTCCTTTGGTTGGAAGATTGGCAATATTTGAAGAGTTAAACATAGTACAGAAATGTGAAGTTTGGTAGCTCTAAATGTGTTGTATTTTCTTTCTTTTTTTTTTTTTTTTGACTACTTAGAATTTTCACAGTTCTAATAAGATTGTTTCCAAGTCTCTCATGTGCAAGCTTTAAAGGATGCACTCTTGCCATTTTATGTACTGGAAGATCATTGGTCAGATTAATACTGTGTCTGACAGAGATGTAAACTGTATAAACTGAGGAACCTCAGCTAATCAGTATTACTTTGTAGATCACCATGCCCACCACATTTCAAACTCAGACTGCCTCTAGATGTCAGAAATCCATTGTTTGAGTTTGTTTGCAGTTCCCTCAGCTTGCTGGTAATTGTGGTGTTTTGTTTTTTGTTTTGTTTTCAATGCAAATGTGATGTAATATTCTTATTTTCTTTGGATCAAAGCTGGACTGAAAATTGTAATGTGTAATTATTTTTGTGTTCTTAATGTTATTTGGTACTCAAGTTGTAAATAACGTCTACTGCTGTTTATTCCAGTTTCTACTACCTCAGGTGTCCTATAGATTTTTCTTCTACCAAAGTTCACTTTCACAATGAAATTATATTTGCTGTATGACTATGATTCCTAAGACTTCCAGGGCTTAAGGGCTAACTTCTATTAGCACCTTACTGTGTAAGCAAATGTTACAAAAAAATCTCTGGGTTAAGATAATTTGGCTTAAATGTATCCTTTGTTATTTTAAATATATCAAGATATTTTAATTAAAATTTTTACCCCATTGAACCACTTTTATAGTATTTGTACCTATTTTGGTGTTTTGTCTTTATAGTAAATAAAAGTTTTTGAACAAAGGTTGTTATTTTTATTTATTTTGAAATAATTTCATACTGACAAAAAAGTCCTAAGAACACCACAAAGTGCTCCCATATATACCATTCACCCAAAAGCCCCATTCAGATTTTGCCAGCAGCCCAGTTATATCCTTTATAGCAAAAGGATCCAAACCAAGATCAGCTTTGCTCTTGGCTATGTTTCTTGAGTCCCATTCAATCCAGAACCATTCCTTATGCCTTCCTTGACCCTGACGACCTTAATTTACTGTTTTATAGAAGTCCCTCAATTTGCATTTGGTGATTCCTCATGATTCAATTCAGAGTATGCACTTGTGACAGGAATATCTCAGAGATGATGGTGCAGGCAGTGTTCTTTTCACTGTCTCCGGAGGTATATCCGGAGGTATATCCGGAGGTATACAAGGTCAGTTTGTCCCATTGCTGGCGATACAAACTGTGATCATCTGAGAAGGCTTTGCCACTGTAAAGTTACTCTTTCCCTTTATAATTAATATCTACCTTTATATTAAATATTTTGTGGAGGTGACACTTTGAGGCTACATAAATAGCTTGTTATTCATCCAACTTCAGCTCTCTGCTCTTAACTTTCTTGCCTGAATTATTACTCTGATGGTTGCCAGACACTGGTTTTCTGGTTCCTGCACTCCTTCTGTATTCTGTTAATGGGCATTTTTCTATAAGGAAGACCTTTCTCTTCTTTGTTATTCATATATATCAAAATGGGTTTGTGGATTCCTATTCAGTGAGATAAAATCCATTACTGTCATCACATATTTCCTCAAATTGTCACATTTAGCCATTGGGAGCCTCTCAGAGCTAGCTTCTCTATGGACTGACAAGCCACCATTATTCTTTGAACACTTCTATACTTCAGACCCATCTCGTGAGTTTGGTTCATCCCTGGGATCAGCCATTTTTCCAAAGAGCCCTGACTGGTATTTAAAAACTGGGTGCTAGATACACTCATTACTCCTGGGTATCACTGCTCCCAGGCCCTCTTGGTAGACAAAGCTAGAATATATGTTTTTTTGCATACGTATGCAAAATACATATACATATACCTACCCATACACACACATAAACCATGAGTTCACACCAACCTTTCCATTTCAATATACCACCATCCAGGTTCATTCAAGCTTTCCCTCTTTCCATATTTGTAACTCCTTTTCTGGACAGTAAGAAACCTGGCTCCCATTTGCCTCAATACGTTGACTGACTTGCTCAAGCTCTCCACCCACCCATGTAACCCATCTCCTGATCCCCGTTAGGCTGCCACCTCAGTCGGCTGCCTTCTCTGCATGGGCCCCAACCCCTGCTGGACTGCCCTTGTTCCAGCTTACCTAAAGCCAGACATACACGTATGTATACTTTATTTTTTAGGGCAGTTTTAGGTTCACAACAAAATGCAGCAGAAGATTCAGGGATTTCCCCCGTAACTCCTGGCCTCACATACTGCACAGCCTACCCCACTATCAACACTGAAGGGGGCTTTTTGACAAAATAAAGGAAAGCTTTATTTAAAATTGTTCTTAAAAAAATTAATGGAAAATTATACCTTTTTTAAAAAAATCTTATGTGGTTTGACATGTTATATACTTGCACATAAATACTACTACTGTTCCCAGACAGCACAGATTAAACTTAATTGATCCTGTTCATACAACTCTTTTTATATCAGACATAAAAAAAGCATAAAAACCATCCTCTTATGTTAAACTGTTGGGAATAGGAATAAAGATTTATTCAACAGCTACTATTTGTCAGGCATACTTTACAACACAGTGATTATACTCCATTTCGCAAATGAAATAAGGCAATTTCAATCATTCTGCAATTCAGGCTGTACCAGGGAACTCACTTGGCCTACCCAAGAGTTTTAGTCTTAGATTGTACCTTGTGGTTGTGTGTTACTGTTTTCTACTTTCATCCTTCGTATTTCTGCTCAGTAGTTGTTTCTCACATGATCACCCTGCAAGATAGGTAATGTCACTGAAAACTGTGAGTTCAGAAGCTATCTTGTGTCTCTACATTTGTTTTAAACTTTCTGTATAACGTGATTTAAAATGAACACCTTTTAAATAGGCTCTGGATATTTTCCCTAAAGGGCACACACCAGTCATTTCAGGAAAATATTAACTTTGAGAAAAGCTTTCTGTTTCAGAGGAATTAATAAATTAATTCTGTTCCTTGATTTTACTTCAATGATATTAACAGTTTTACAAAATGACCAAATCTGCAGGTTAGATGGAATCTAGAAAAATGCTGGGGTATCATGCCCACATGGAAATGCCAATGAATGCATTTGTGAACTGATACAGTAATTCACTTGTTATACAACAAAATGCATGAAATACTGCAGTCACTGGAGAACACAGTGACAAATGTATGCAAACTGCCATATTTCCGTGTCATGACAATTTTTAGGTTTGTCATTTTAAAAATTTCTGCTATAAGCAAAAATCACATGTTGAATTGAGACGTAAGGTAGGAAAGGATGGGTCTTTTAAAGTAGGTGATGATGATGGACTTCGTGACCACAGAGCCTGAGACATCACCTGGGTCAAGTCTGGCTCTGCCACTTGCTAGCCGTGTAACCCCACAACAGCTTTGTAAGAAGTAAGAGAACCTATGTAAATGGCTAAGAACAGTACCAGGCACAGTGGATGCACAATATGTATTTTATGAATGAATGAGTGACCCAAAAGTCACAGACTCAAATGCCTATGGACCTAGAAGTGTCCTTAGCAGAGCTTTTGGCTGACCTGAGAGTTCATGCCAAATTCATGTCCAAGCGGGGTCCGTGTTACCATGTTGGAATGAAAAAAAAAAAGCCCAGTGTTTCCAAAGCCTCTGAATTTTCAAAAGAAGCTGGAGAGATCTGGATTTTACATGCAATTTCTTGATGTTTACATATTGGAAACTAATTTTAAATTTTATAAGGAACAGTAGGCTAAACAAAACTCATATGCTTGATCTGGCCTGTGGCTAGCTGCTTTTTGACCTCTGATCTGGATCCAGGCTTATAAAACAAAAAATGAAGCAGAAAATCAGAGTGAAATCTCAGCTTTAGGAAACTGGATCCAGGACTTTTGTCTTCTGAGACATATGAGATAAGGGGGAAATGGAGATGCTGATTATAGATGCTAGAGAACTAACCTATGAAGAGAAAATTAATGTCTAGTTTTATGCACTAATGTGAAATGCTTACCGCTAAAGCCTAATTATCATGTAGCAAACTATGTATATAGCATTCAAATATGCAGGACTTCCCGGTGGTCCACTGGTAAAGAATCCGCCTTACAATGCAGGGGACATGGGTTTGACCCCTGGTCTGGGAACTAACATCCCACATGCCGCGGGGCAACTAAGCCCGTGGACCACAACTACTGAGCCCACACGCCTCAACTAGAGAGCCTGCATCCCGCAAACTACAGAACCCACATGCTCTGGAAACTGCACGCCACAGCTAGAAAAGAGAAAACCCACACACAACTAGAGAGAAGCCCGCGTGCCACAAGGAAGAGCCCGCACGCTACAACAAAAGATCCAGCATGCCTCAATGAAGATCCCGCATGCTGCAACTAAGACCCAACGCAGCCAAAAACAAATATGCCATCACAGTGGTATAGCTAGTCTGTGAGTTTCATTTTACAGTAGGTACTCTGCATGATCTGTGACTAAAGAACTTCATCCACAACTGAAGCCAGTCTCATCACTTGCGATCAACCTGGTATTACTGTGGCCCATGCCCCATGGCCCTCAGTTCAGAACTTTGCCAAACCTGTAGAGATAAAACTAGGCTAAGCCGATGACATAAGAGGCAAAGTCTTCATGCCCCAAAGTTCCTTTCCCACAACGCTGAAATTCGTATTGGAGTTTATTTTTGAGATAACTAAGTGCTATTTTCCCTTAAAGTCAATTTGCTTAATGAGATCTCACAACATCTACGTAGACATACTCAGAGGATGAGGGTTGTAACTAGGATGAAAGGGAAAAAGAAAAGGAGGAGGAATAATGAGGTATGGGGAAATATTGAAAAATCTTTGGCAGGGAGTAGCACAACTATATTTGCATTTTATAAAGATCACTCCAGCAGTATCTTGAAGAAGGAATCAAAGGGGCGGTACCAGAGGCAGAAAGAAAGTCCGAAGACAACTGCATTATCTAGATAAGAAAGTGTGAGGGGAGGGCTTCCCTGGTGGCGCAGCGGTTGAGAGTCCGCCTGCTGATGCAGGCGACACGGGTTTGTGCCCCGGTCCGGGAAGATCCCACATGCCGCGGAGCGGCTGGGCCCGTGAGCCATGGCCACTGGGCCTGCGCATCCGGAGCCTGTGCTCTGCAACGGGAGAGGCCACAACAGTGAGAGGCCCGCGTACCGGAAAAAAAAAAAAAAAAAAAGGAAGTGTGAGGGGAGAGTGATGTCAGCATCAGGGCAGAATACAATGACCCTAACAACACTGAATCATGAAGAAAGAGAAAATCTGAACAGACCAATAACAAGTAAGGAAACTGAATCAGTAAACAAAAACCTCTCAACAAAGAAAAGCCCAGGGGGGCTCCCCTCGTCGCACAGTGATTGAGAATCTGCCTGCTAATGCAGGGGACACGGGTTCGAGCCCTGGTCTGGGAGGATCCCAAATGCTGTGGAGCAACTAGGCCCGTGAGCCACGACTACTGAGCCTGCGCGTCTGGAGCCCGTGCTCCACAAGAGAGGCCGCGACAGTCAGAGGCCCGCGCACTGCCATGAAGAGTGGCCCCTGCTTGCCACAACTAAAGAAAGCCCTCGCACAGAAACGAAGACCCAACACAGCAAAAATAAATAAATAAATTACTAAACTCCTACCCCCAACATCTTCTTAAAAAAAAAAAGAAAGAAAAAGAAAAGCCCAAGACCAGATGGTTTTGCTGGTGAGTTCCATCAAACATTTAAAGAATTAACGCCAATCCTTTTCAAACTCTTCAAAAAAACTGAAGAGGAGGGAACACTCCCAAGCTCATTTTATGAGCCCAGCGTTACCCTGATATCAAAGACAGATACGGACACTACAAAAAAGAAAACTACAGGCCACAGGTGGTCCAGGATGGCGGTGTAGGAAGATCCTGAACTCACGTCCTCCCACAGGTACACCAAAGCTACAACTACATATGGAATATTTCCCTCTGGAAAAGACCTGAAAACTAGCTGACCAGCTCCTTCACGACAAATGATAAAAGGGCCACACTGAGGCAGAGGCAGAGAAGTGATCTCACTAAAACCCCACCCTCAGTGCAGCGACCCACAGTCAGGAGGGATGTCAAAAATGCAGAGCTTCTCCCTGAGGAGTGAGGGGTTTGTGCCCCACATCGGGTGCCCCGGCCCTTGGGACCTGCAGTGGAGAGATGAGCCCCCAAAAGGTCTGGCTTGGGAAACCAACAGGGCTCACGTCCAGGGGACCCAAAGGGCTGTACAGAACTGAGACATTTCTCTTAAAGGGCTCACGTGCAGACTCACTTGCCCTGGGGACCAGTGTAAAAGCAGCAGTTTGAAAAGTGCGGGTTCTCCACCATGGCTGTATCAATTTACATTCCCACCAACAGTACGAGAGGGTTCCCTTTTCTCCACACCCTCTCCAGCATTTGTTGTTTGTAGACTTTTTGATGATGGCCATTCTGACTGGTGTGAGGTGATACCTCACTGTAGTTTTGATTTGCATTTCTCTAATAATTAGTGATACTGAGCATCTTTACACGTGCCTGTTGGCCATCTGTATGTCTTCTTTGGAGAAATGCCTATTTAGGTCTTCTGCCCATTTTTTTGATTGGGTTTTTTTTTTTTTTTTGATATTAAGCTGTATGAGTTGTTTATATATTTTAGAAATTAATCCCTTTTTGGTCTCTTCATTTGCAAATATTTTCTCCCATTTTGTAGGTTGTCTTTCTGTTTTGTGTATGGTTTCCTTTGCTATGCAAAAGCTTTTAAGTTTAATTAGGTCCCACTTATTTTTGCTTTTGTTTCCATTAATCTAGGAGACAGATCCAAAAAAAAATATTGCTGCAATTTATGTCAAAGCGTGTTCTGCCTATGTTTTCCTCTAGGAGCTTTATAGTATCTGGTCTTACATTTAGGTCTTTAATCCATTTTGAGTTAATTTTTGTATATGGTGTTAGTGAATGTTCTAATTTCATTCTTTTACATGTAGCTGTCCAGTTTTCCCAGCACAAATTATTGAAGAGACTGTCTTTTCTTCATTGTATATTCTTGCCTCTTTTGTCATAGATTAATTGACCGTAAGTGCGTGGTTTATTTCTGGGCTCTCTATCCTGTTCCACTGATCTATGTGTCTGTTTTTGTGCCAATACCATACTGTTTTTTTTTTTTAACGTCTTTATTAGAGTATAATTGCTTTACAATGCTGTGTTAGTTTCTGCTGTATAACAAAGTGAATCAGCTATACATATACATACATCCCCATATCTCCTCCCTCTTGTGTCTCCCTCCCACCCTCCCTATCCCACCCCTCTTGGTGGTCACAAAGCACCAAGCTGATCTCCCTGTGTACCATACTGTTTTGATTACTATAGCTTTGTAGTAATTTATAGTATAGTCTGAAGTCAGGGAGTGTGGTTCCTCCAGCTCCATTCTTCTTTCTCAAGATTGTTTTGGCTATTGGGGGTCTTTTGTGTTTCCATACAAATTTTAAAATTATTTGTTCTAGTTCTGTGAAAAATGCCATTAGTATTTTGATAGGGATTGCACTGAATCTGTAGATTGCTTTGGGTAGTATAGTCATTTTCACAATGTTGAATCTTCCAGTCCAAGAACATGCTATATCTTTCCATCTGTTTGTGTCATCTTCAATTTCTTTCATCAATGTCTTTCTTTTATTTTGGCTGCACCAGGTCTTAGTTGCAGCATGTGGGATTCTTGTTGCAGCATGTGGACTCTTTAGTTGTGGCATGTAGGCTCTTAGTTACGGCATGCACGTGGGA